CTCGGCTGTTAACCAAAAGGTTGGCAGTTCGAATCCACCAGTCGCTCCTTGGAAACCCTACAGGGCAGTTCTATTCTGTCCTATAGGGTCGCTATGAGTCGGAATTGACTCGACGGCAACAGGTTTGGTTCAATCTGGATTAGTGATGAAGATAAAAAAGTAGAGGCTTCAGTATGGATTATATCTCAAGATAAAGAGAACAAAAATCCTCGCAACTGGACCAATAAGCAACATCATGATAAATGGAGAAAAGATTGAAGTTGTCAAGGTCCCTTTACTTGGATCCACAATCAACGCCCATGGAAGCAGCAGTCAGGAAATCAAACGACGTATTGCATTGGGCAAATCTGCTGCAAAAGACCTCTTTAAAGTGTTAAAAAAGCAAAGATGTCACTTTAAGGACTAAGGTGCACCTGACCCAAGCCATGGTGTTTTCAATCGCCTCATATGCATGTGAAAGCTGGACCATGAATAAGGAAGACTGAAGAAGAATTGATTCCTTGGAATGATGGTGGTGGTGAAGAATATTGAATATACCATGAACTGCCAGAACCAACAACTCTGTCTTAGAAGTATAGCCAGGGTGCTCCTTAGAAGCGAGGATGGCGAGACCAGTCCCTGGAGAAGAACATCATGCTTGGTAAAGTACAGGGTCAGTGAAAAAGAAGAAGACCCTCAACGAGATGGATTGACACAGTGGCTGCAACAATGGGCTCAAGTATAACAACAATCGCGAGAATGGTGCAGGACTGGGCAGTGTTTCTTTCAGTTGTACATACGGTCATTATGAGTCAGGACTGGCTCAATGGCACCTCACAATGATTATCCTGGAGTCTGGTTTCACCGGAGGGAGGTGACAATGTCTACTCCTTTGCAAGATTGTTGTGGGGATTAGGAGGAATAATATCTTTAAAGTGCTTTAGCATGATGTCTGGCAAATAGTTGGTTCTTAGCACATTTGAGTTTGCTGGGATGGGACCAGGAGCCTCCGGCTGCAGGGAGGGTTGGCATGGGGCAGGGGCCCCCACTACAGCCAGACACCCAGAAAAGAGATATGAAATCCCCAGACCTGGGTTTAAGTCATGGCTCCACCTTTTCAAGGCAAGTTACTTGGCCTCTCCTGTTATCAGTTGGATGATCATTAAATGCACTTTGTAATTAAAACAAAACAAAGCAAAAAACCCAAACCTGTTGCTGTTGAGTCAACTCCAACTCATGGAGACCCCATGTGTCACGAAGTAGAACTCCATAGGGTTTTCCTGGCTGTAATCTTTACAGAAACATCTCGCCACGTCTTTTTTCTGGGGCACTGCTGGGTGGGTTCGAACTGACAACCTTTAGATTAGCAGCCGAGTGCAAACTGTTTGTACCACCCACGGACTCCAGATGAACATTTGTTATTGTTATTACATTCACCAAACTCCTAAATAGGACCAGCAACGGGGGATCTCACAGCCATGGGATGTGGGTCTGGAACTTTGGAAAAGATTGTCCCAGGCCTACAGATTTCAACATCCGGAAACGGGGCCGGAAGGCAGGGCCAGGACCCACTAAGGCTTCCCTTGCAGAGCCTGTCCTGAGCTTTATGATGTCCTTTCGTGCCACCTCTGAGGCCCAGATGCTCCAACTGGGTCTCTGTGTCTCCCTTCCCATCTCTGTGCACTAACCCCATCCAAAACTGTTAACGAGGGGGTTCCCATGGACTAATTCACAGTGAGGTTCTGTTTCCTAAAGCCTGTTTACCAGGAATATTAATGCCTCTGAAGGAATAAAAGGGTTCTTTGGCCAAAGTTAAATAGGTTTATTTTTTTGCAAGATCTATCAGAGCTTTCAATATGCTAATATGCACTGTGAATCTCTGAAGGGATGCAAGAATGAAGTAAGCAATGTTTCCCAAAGGTATTTCACCATGCAACCCTTTTTCTAGGACGATTACCCAGGATTTGCTTACCATGCAACACACTTTGGGAAATGATGCACGAAGTGTCCTGTCTTATTCCTCTTGAGTGTCTGCTTTTTAAAGGGGCTGATGCTGTACCACATAGGCCAGCAAACCACAGCCCGTGGGCCAAATCTCGCCGTCTGTTTTTGTAAATAAAGTTTTATCGGAACACAGCCATGCCCATTTGCTTTATATATTGCCTATTATTGCTTTTGAACTACAATAGCAAAGTTGACTCTGTGACAGAGACTATACTGTCCACAAAGCCTAAAATATTTACTATCTGGCCTTTTATAGTAAAAGTTTGCTGACCCTTGCTGTGGTATTTCTCACCTGAGTTATGTGTAACTTCTGGAGAATGCAGCAGTATCCCAGGAGCGAGACAATGAAGCCACAATCTGAATGGTAAATACGGCATGTCTGCCTGGAGGACCAGCTTAACTCAAATATAAGTAATCTCATGCGTTATTTTTACATTAAAACAAACATTATAGAGTGTAAATTTTGCGCCAAACCAAAAAAAACCAAAGCCCTTGCCATCGAGTTGATTCCGACTCACAGCGACCCCATAGGACAGAGTTGAACTGCCCCATGGGGTTTCCAAGGAGCGGCTGGCAGATTTGAACTGCTGACCTTTTGGTTAGAAGCAGTAGCTCTTAACCACTGTGCCAACTAGGGCTAAAAAAAACCAACTAGACTTTAAATAAAGAAATTTCTCAGGCCTTTCAGGCTAGCATCGCTTCTACTGTACTCCCTATGCCCCAACCGCTCTATTGCTGACCAAGATGCTTGTTTATGTTCCCCCATTCTAAGTGGCACCTCGCAGGGAAAGTTTGAGAAGCACTGTTTTATCGGGAAAGCAGAAAAGAAACCTGAAGAAGGGACAGTTATACACTAGCAAATGGCGAGTGAAGGAGATCTTTGGAAAAGGAGTCCTCTCTGAGGCTCTCATGCTGCCTGTGCAGGCATGGTCGTGTCTGAGAGCTCTCTTACTACATGTTACACGTGCAGGCTTTGAGATCAGACAGACCTGGCCTTGGGTCCTGGCTCTCCCTATTCACTACCTTTATGACTCGGGTTAAGTTACTTAACCTTTCTGAGCCTTCATTGCCTCAGCTATAAACATAATACACACTTCACAAGCTGGTTGTGAAGAGTTTAAGAAATAATGCAGGGAAAGTGTTCCACACGTGGTAAGAACTTAGCGTTAACTACTAACATGTTAGCTAAATTTCCTGAATATATAAAGAGCTCTGAGAAATCAAGAAAATAAAAGTCAAACCCAATTGAAAAGTGGGAGAAAGGCATGGATAGTTTACAGAAGAGAAAACACCAATAGCTTTTAAATATATGAAAGACACACCTTCATGCGTGAGAGAAATGAGAATCACAACTCAAATGAGATTCCATTGTTCACCCACCAGGTTGACAGAGATCAAACAATTTGATAACATACTCTATGCAGTGTCGATGAGAATGCAAATTGTGACAACCTTTGTGGAAAGCAACTGGTAATGTCTATCGAAATTACAAATGCTTATACCTAACTGTTCCACTTCCAGGAGTTCTAAATTATATATATAGTTACACATGCTAAGTGAATGATCAAGGATTTTTTTAGAGCACTGGTTTTGTTTATAAATGTTCAACAATAAGGGACTGCTTAAATAAAATGTAAATACACACAGTAAAATACTACATAGCTGTCAAAAAGAATAAACCCCGTATGATATTGAATGAGTCTGAGACACATAAGGCAAAAAAAAAGCAAGGTGCCACACAAGGGGTACGGTGTATTCCCACTGGTGTAGTTATAAATATATGCACAGAAAATATATTCACATGTGCTCATATATGCAGAGACTGTCTCTGGAATAATTCATACAATGGCGTGAGGTCTTGCATCACCTAACCTGCCCCTTGGTACCCTGACGCCTCTGACTCAATTCTCCCCTTCACTTCCTTCCACCCACACTGGCCACCTTGCTGTTGCTCGATCTCCCCAGGCACACTCCTGACTTAGGACTTTGCACTGGCTGTTCCCTCTGTGTGAAAAGCTGTTCTCCCAGATTTCCACAGGGCTCACCTGTTCCCCTCCTTCAAACCTTTGCTCAAATCTCATGTTCCCAGTGAGGCCCATCCTGAGCACTAATTAAAACGACAGCCCCCACCCCCTGACTCCCTCTTACCCTACTCTTTTTTTCCCACAATCCTTATCACCTTCTAACATTCTATGACTCAATGTGCTTAGGCACTATGCTTATGTAAACTCTACAAAGAGTAGGGATCTTTGTTGTGTTCCCTGATATAGACCGAGCATCTAACACCTAGTAGATATTCAATAAATATTTGCTGAATAAGGGAATAAATGGAAAGATATATAAAAAAAAAACTAGTCACAGCTGTGATCCCTGGGGACGGGAACTGAGATACTAGAGACAGGGGTGGGAAGGAGACTTACTTTTCGGTACATACCCTTGTGTATTTTGTACCATGTGTTTGTATTAACTGGTAAAATTTTTATTAAAAAAACGTTTAGCTCTATCAACAGCACGTGAGAACTGGCAGAAGTAACAACCCGGACCCAACCACTTCGTCTGACACGTGATGACCCAGGTGCAGAGAAGTTAGGTAACTTGCCCAAAGTCACAGCCAGGGTTTAAACCTACATCTACTGACTCCAGGGCCCTCTCTGTTAGCCTCTTGATCTGGGGCTCTAATCAGCCAATTTAATGTCATGTGATAGGAATGCTGAGCTTCATTGTCCCACCCGACATGTCCCATCACCAGGAACTCCAAGGGATGATCTATCTCAGTTCTTTTGGTACATAAGATTTCAGCTATATCGTGCATAGCTTGATATCAATGCGAACACTAGGGCCCAGGGACTCTTTTATGAGAACTTCATTGTCAATACCAAGTCTGGAAGCACAGTGTTTCTGAAGCCCACGCTCTCAGGTGTAGACACCCATATTTCTTCTTCCAAAGCAGTCAAGAAGTCCAGATGAGCGGCTGGCTGTCTAGGGGTCGGGGAGGGATGTGAGGGTACTTGGCTGGGTCAAAGGGTAATGGGAGTGTTCCCGGGAGCTACTAAATGTTGGCTGCTCAGCCTCCCGGACTGGGCTGTCTGGGTGTGGGAGGCCCTCTGGGTCCGGACCAGGTGGTGGACCCGCCGCCGCTGCTGCAACCAGTACAGCATCTCAATTTTGTCACGCTTCATCTTATCCAGATAGCGCCGCCCCCTGAAGGTCACTGGCTCGTCAAAGATTGACTCGATCTCCTCTAGGAGGGAAACCAAGGACGTTTCCACTTGATTGAGCTTCCTCTGCAGATGGCTGCGGATCTGATTCTCCTCCAGCAGACAACTCAGGCCCATGTCAGGCTTCTGGAAGAAGCGACTGGGGTTGGAGGCTTGCCGCTCAAACCACTCCAGTCTCGCCAGCAGGATCTCCCGCAGCTGAATGGGCTGCAGGGCCTGCTCCCAGGCACTCATGACTGCAGGCAGCTGCGTCAGACGGGCGCTGGAGCTGTACTTGATGGCCATGTCCAGCCGGTCCTTGTAGGGGACCTCAAGCAAGAACCACAGCCGCTCCAGACGCTTCTGCAGGCTCTGGATTTTGTGGCATTCGCCCAGGAGGTCAAGCCTTGCAGTTCCCAGGCCGTACTGCAGCACTATGTTGCAATCCCACTCACCCGGCACAAAGTCCCAGGGCTCTTCCTCTTCTGGCAAGGGTGGAGGGTGCTGAAGCTCCAGGGACTCCCTGACAGGGACCACCAGCTCCATGGGAACCTCCTCCTCATACATATGGAAGATGACATGGAGGAAGTCCGTCTCCTGGGTGGTGAGGTACTTGAAGTAGTCCTCCTTGGACAGGTTGGTTTTCCACCAGCGCATCCATGAGGTCTTGTTGGACCGCCAGTCCCAGCTTTTGTAGGCATAAAATGACGTGAGGGAGGACGCCTTGTCGGCGTTGGAGAGTAACCTGTTGGCTCCTTGGGAGTGAAGATTCGCCAGCTCAGGGTTGATGATGCGATTCTGTTTTTCTTGACGGAGGAAGGCTGAGGACAGGAAGGTTGACCAGTCTTTACCTGCTGCAGGCTCAACCAGGGGCCCCTGGTCAAAACGGAGGTGGTTAGTAGAGACACGGCTCATCAACTCCTTGTAGACCTCTCGGGTGCTACTGCCGGCGAAGTGGTTGCGATCCATCTCTTCAACAAGTTTGGGGTCCAGTTCACCAGCCAGGTGGTTGTACAGGACTCCAACCCCCTCCACGTGGAAGGAGTCCACGAAATTTCTGTCCGAGACTCGCACAGCAGCTGCCTCGACCACTAGCTGACTTCTTAGCTTCAGAGTTACAGTCACTGGCTGTGGGTGTAGTGGCGGGGCTTTGTGGGGTTGGTGGTCCTGCTGACTGAAGGCTTCTTCCTCCTCCAGGGCCTTCAACATCCTCTGCAGCTTCCTGAGGCGGTGCCCTGTGGCCGGTCGGTGGGTCAGGGCTGCCAGGAGTGGGGGCAGGTCTGAGTCCCGCGGTAGGTAGCGAGGCCACTGAAATTTGCGTGTCTTCATCATCTGCTTCAGATCCTCAGTCACAGTGTTCCCTGCCAGCTCTGGCTTGCTCTCTGCAACCAGGACCAGTGGCGTTAAGGTGCGAGGGGGGAGTGGGAGAAGGCCCAGCTCATCTGCCAGCTTCCAGCCCTCACGCAGAGAGGGCATGGACCGGCAGCTCCCGAGCTGGGAGTAGACTGAGAACTGGGTGGAAGGGGCAGCCCAGCTGGTGGGAGCCACCATGTAGCTAGGCTGTGGCTCAGTCTGTGAGGAAATTAAGTCCATGTCTTCTTTCTTTGGCGTGGAGGGCAGCCAGAGGAGAATCCTTCTCTTCAGCTGGGGCATGGCCTTCAATTCTTTCAGAGCATCCACTCCTGGTTCGCTGAGAAACTCTGAAGGGCGGCTGAGGTGGACGAGGTAGTTCAGGGTGAGGCTGGAGCATGGCACGTGGGCGAAGCCGGTGCTGTGAGGCCAAGGGATAGGGCAGAGCTTGAAAGCCTGCATGGGGCTGGGGTGGCTCAGCTCCTTCACGCCGCCGCGGGCTCGATCTACCCTCAGCACGGCCTGAAAGTCGGCGAGCAGGCAACGGTAAACATCAGGGCTGGTGAGGAAAAGCGTGCAGTCCCTGGCCAGGCTGGCGGCCAAGCGGGTGAGGGTGGCTGGTTCGGTAAAGACGCCTCTGGGAGCGGACAGGGTCACCAGCAGGTGCAGATAGCGTAAGAAGAGCTGCTCGCTGCTCAGCAGCACGTGGGCCTCAAGCCGCTCCCGCAGCTTCTGGTTGTTCCGGCGGCTCAGACCGGGCTCGGCGGGAGGCTCCTGCCAGCTGCACTTCAGCTCGTCCAGGATGACCTGCGTGAGGCGGAGACGGCCCTCCGGAGACACCCGCGCCGACAACCCGCTGCGGGCCAGCCGCTCGGCTACCTGGCTACACAGCGACGCCACCGTCAGCTGTGTGGGCTGCAGCGCTTCCGGCATCCCGACCTTCTGCGGGAGGCGCTTCTTAGTCTCTGGGGGCGTCGCCCTGCGGGGGAAAAGCGACAGCGGCTGCAACAACTGGTGGTAAAACCGCTGGAGCTCGGGCTGCAGCTTCCGAGGCTCCATCTTGGCACCGGCGGAGCCCACTGCCCGTCCGCACAGTTGCTAAGCCGTTACTAAGGCAACCAGGAGGCAGGCGGCCCCAGTGCGCCTGCGCAGCCCTCGCGCGTCGCCCCAGGTACATGGGGGGGGGGGAGGGAGGCCTTGCGTGCGCACGCAGTAGGGGGCGGAGCGAAGGGTGGCTTCCGCGACTCCGCGGCCCTGCGACGCTGCTGGGAGTTGCGCTTCAGTACCAGAGCGCATCTCATCCTGCAGCCGGTGGCAGGGTCTAGGATGTCTTCGGCTTCAGGAGACAACGGGACCTCCTGCACGGTGAGAGTCGAGGCCTCGAGTGGGAGCCTCGCGGGACAGGGAACTTTGTCTGTTGGGGTGATCGTTAACTAGCCTGGGACCGGGGGTGATCTTGAGATGCGAGGGTAGCAGGACCCCTGGCGTGAGTGCTGGGGCATGGGACTACGGTCCTGGAATGATGATGAGTGATCATGAAGAGGGCGCTTGAGGAAGGGTCACGTGGGGCGTGACTCCCAGGTCTTTGGGGTGGTCATAGGGGAGGTGGTGAAACAGGGTCAGGCAGCCTCCGTCCCCAGCTCTCATAGGCCTGTCCCTGCCGCCCCTGCAGCTGGAGTTCGCCGTGCAAATGACCTGTCAGAGCTGCGTGGATGCGGTTCGCAAGTCCCTGCAAGGGGTGGCAGGTAAGAGCCATGTAAAGTTTTCTATGGACAGCTGTTCCGAGGCTTCTGGGAGAGGCTAGGCAAATCTCTTCCACCACCCCGACTCGTATGTTACAGATGAAGCCGAAACGGAGACTCAGCGGAAGGAATATTCTCAGAATCACACAGCTACCCAGAGGCAGAGTCTAGAGTCCAGGTTTCAGCCGTGTACCTGCTGAATGACTAGATGAACTGGCTACAGCTGTGTGTCCTGGCTGAACCTCAGGTGTCCTGGAGCGAGGAGCTAGGCTGAACGTAGCCCCTCCTACGGAGGGAGTTCCCTGGAAAACAGTTCTTGCTTGGGAAACAGCAATATCTTGACAAAGCAAACAGCAGCTCTGGCCGTGTACCATCTTATGCAGCTCCTGGTTCCTGAAAGTCAGCTGGTCTGGAGGTGACCTGGCACAGTTGGAGAGGTCTGAGATGGCAGAGCCACCCGCACTGGGCTGGGAATGGGCTTCCATTGATTCTGCTCAATGTTCATCCAGTCATTCAGCAGGTACCCAGCCTTGCTTGTGGACCAGGCCCTGGGGGCTTTAGGAAGATGGTTGCCAGTGTATCAGGCATAGCCCTTGCCCTCAGATAAAGATGAGCATGCAAACATTGCCTTTGACATTCACAGAAAGCTTCATAGAAGAGCTGTGTAGGGGAGGGAATGAAATGAGATGGGCTGTGAAGCTGGGACAGTAGTGACACTGGACCCTACAGGACAGCAGTGTGTCGTAGTGATTAGAGGTATGTGCTCTGGAGCCAGACCATTTGGGTTCACATCTCCTCTTTGCTGCTTCGTAGCACGGTGTCCTATGCAAGTTACTTTTTGTGCTTCTGTTTCTTCGACTTTTAAACAGGGATGATAATAGAACCTATCTGGAGGGCTTTGTGAAGAGGAAATTAGTGAAGACATGTAAAGCACTTTAGAAAAGCCTCTGGCATGTGAGAGCCCAATAAATCTCAGATATTATGAGAGGAAGGGTGGTTTAGTCATCTAGTGCTGCTGTTACAGAAATACTACAAGTGGGTGGCTTTAACAAACAAATTTATTTTCTCACAGTTTCGGAAGCTAGAAGTACAAATTCAGGGCACTGGCTCTAGGGGAAGGCTTTGTCTCTGTGCTGGGAAAGGCCCCTGTCTCTTTAGCTTGCTTCATGGTTCCCTGGCGATCGCCATGTGGCTTGGCATCTATCTTCTCCCATCTCTGCTTCCTTAATCTACTCCTTTTATGTTTTGCAAGAGATTGACTCAAAATACACTCTACACTAATCCTGCCTCATTAACATAACAAAGACAATCCATTCCCAAATGGGATTATAACCAGACACATAGAGGTTAGGATTTACAACATATATTTCTGGGGGACACAATTCAGTCCATAACACAGGGTTTACAGGGAGTGATCTGGTTGAGGGGAGGTGTAGGAGACAGACCTTGAAGTGAGGTTTGCTTAGACTATGTTTAGGGTTTTGGAGTTAGAGTCTGGTGGAGTTCGAGCCATTCCACTGATGTGTGGAGTGTTCTGACCAAAGCTTTCTCAGGATGTAAGGCCTTCCACTTCCTGTAAAGCTTTCTCGCTAAGAGAGCTGACAGCTAGACTTTCTGTCAGACACAGGGCAATTTTCAGCCCTCAGCAGGCTTCTCAGGCACCAGATAACGACTATATGACTGTGCATTATCTGGTCTAGATAGCTGGAACAGCTTGGCTTTCTCATGGGCTGGGCAGGAAAGTTGTCGTTTCCCAGAATGCATAGAGAACGAGGGCTGCCCTATCTGGGAGGCCTGGGGTTTTGGGGAAACAGGCTCTGATCTTCTTCCACAGGTAAGTGGGAGGAGCACCAGGCCAAGGCTCACCTCCTGGAGTTCCCTGTGGCTCCTGCTCAGCCACACTCGGGGTTCATCAGCTGCTGCTTGGCTGGGGAGCCAGCCTTCTTGGTCAGACTCAGCTCAAGAGTTGTGGAGGTGCATACTTGCAAGGAGCTTCCAGCCCTCCCACTTTGGGAGCAGAGAATCAGCTCACCTCTCCCCAGACCAAGCAAGAACTTCCTTTGTGGGCTCCTTGATGCCTCTGTTGGCCCCCCAATAGCTTTTCCAAATAAAAGCCAGACTGATTTTTTAAATTATAAGTCAGATAATGTCATTCTAGGAGGACAGAGGAGGGGGATCCCAGCCCAGCCTGGGGGCTCCTTCTCAGGGTGGGCAGAGTGTTTGGGTTAAGGGCTTGGACTCTCGAGTGAGGCTGCCTGGGCTTGGATTCCAGTTCCACAACTTATTACAATGTGACTTTGAGCAAGTTTCTTAAATCTCTGTGGCCTCAGTTTCCTCTTCTGTAAAATAGGGATAATACTACTCAACTCACAGGGTTCCTCTGAGTTTCAAATGAATGAATATAGATGTCTTAGGCTAAGTTTTCTAGAAAAGCCAAAGCAGTGAAGCATATATGTATTTATCTCAAGGAAATGGCTCACGTGGTTGTAGAAAGGCTGGCAAGTCTCAAGTCCATGGGTCAGGCATCAGGCTGGAAGCTTCTCCTGACTCACATGGTTGCAGAGGCTGATGAACCCAGATTGGTAGGTCAGACAACAGGCTGCTGGCCCACGGGGCTGTGGAAGCTGGCAAATCAGGTCAGACAGCAGGTTGCTGGCTTGCAGGGCTGCGGAATCTGGCAAATCCCAGAATCAGCAGGTCAGACAGCAGGCTGTTGGCTCAGGTCCCAAGAACTAGAGGTCAGATGATGACAAGCTGGATGTAGGATCCAGAGTGAGAGAGAGCTTTGCCAGAGCATTCATATATATTGGATGTAGGCCACACTCAAGGAAACTCCCCTTACTAGAGCAAGGTGGTGACTTGAGTAAGGCTGTGACTTGAGTCATGCCCTTTAGGAAGGAAGTGACTCATGATAAACCTTACACTAATCCTGCCGCATCAACACATAAAGGTTTAGGATTTACAACACATAATTACACGATACCACAAAATGGAGGACAGTTACATCATATCACAAAATGGGGGACAATTACATCAGATCACAAAACGGAGGATAATTACATCAGATCACGAAAATAGAGAACAATTACACAATACTGGGAATCATGGCCTAGCCAAGTTGACACATAACATTAACCATCATGACAGGTAAAGCACTTAGAAGAGGGCCTGGCCCACAGTGTGTGCTCCACGCTCATTACCTGTTGTGTTAATAGTAATAGTCCCTCCCCTTTTTTGGTAACAGCTTTATTGATATAAAATGCATGTACCATACAATTCACCCATTTAAGTATACGATTCAGTGGTCTTAGTATATTCACAGTTATGCAAGCATTACCACAGTTAATTTTAGAACATTTTTATCACCTCAGAAGGAAACTCCATATCCTTAAACCATCACTCCAGCCTCACCCTCCTAGCCCTAGCCAACCACTAATCAATCTACTTTCTGTTTCTATGATTTACCTATTCCGGACATTTCCTTTAAATGGAATCTACAATGTACAGTCTTTTGTATCTGGCTTCTTCCACTTAACAATGTTTTCTAGGCTCATCCGTGTTGTAGTATGCATCAGAACTTCAGTTCTACTTATGGATGAAATAATATTCCGTTGTATGCCCTGGTGGTGCAAACGGTTAAGCACTCGGCTGCTGGCCCAAAAGTTGGCAGTTCAAACCCACCCAGCAGCTTTTCAGGAGAAAGACCTGGTGATTTCCTCTCGTAAAGTTTACAGCCTAGAAAACACTATGGGGTAGTTCTACTCTGTCACTTGGGGTCACTGTGAGTCAGAATTGACTCAGCAGCACACAACAACAACACAACATGCATATACCGCATTTTGTGTATCCACCCATCACCCGATGGGCATTTGGATTGTTTCTGCCTTTTGGCTGTCATGAAGAATGCAACTTCAAAAGTTATGAACACCAATGACAGCCCCCCAAAAAAGTGTGTGGTTACATATGTATGTAGATGTTTATATATGTGTATGGGTATATATATATGTGTGCATGCGTATACATACGTTTGTTGTTACATGTATAGGTGTATGTATATGCAGGTATGTGTGTGCATGCATGTATATTCATATATATAATAAACCACATAGGGGACACAGTTACAGATACTTCTTAGACGTTACCAAACACCTCATGAATTTGGTAGTCTGGGTTTGAAGGCTTAGGACCATAGTCTTATGTGACAACTGGGTCCATTGGTATAATATAGCTCATAAAATTAATGTTCTACATCCTAGTCTGGTGAGTAGTGTCTGGGGTCTTAAAAGCTTGCGAGTGGCCATCTAAGATACAACCATTGGTCTGTACTCATCTGGAGCAAAAGAGAAGGAAGGAAACCAAAGACTCAGAGGAGAAACTAATCTACCGGACTAATAGCCTACATGAACCACGGCCTCATCCACCCTGAGACCAGAAGAACTAGATGGTGCCTAGCTACTGCTAACAACCGTTCTGATCAGAGCCACAATCAATGAATCCTGGTAGAATGGCAGAAGAATGTGGAACAGAACTCAGTTTTTTTTAAAGTCCAGACTTACTGGACTGGTTAAGCCTGGGGAATCCTGAAGACTGTAGCCCTGAGATACCCTTTAAATCTTGAACGGAAACTATCACCTGCCATTACCTTTTAGCTAAATAACAGAGTGGGTCATAAAATAAAGAATAAAACTGGTGAATACTGTGCTTCTTCAAAAAAAGTCATCTATATGAGACTAAATGGTCAACAATCACTCAAAGAAAAGATGAGAAGGTAAGGGCACAGGGGAACAAGATTACTGGAAATGGAACAACCAGATAGAATGAATGAGAATGTTGAGACACTGTGAAAAATGTAACCAGTGCCACTGATTAATTGGTGTAGAAATTGTTAAATGAGAACCTAATTTGCTGTGTAAACTCTCACTGAAAACACAATAAAATATTATTTAAAAAAAAAAAAGTTATGAACAATGCCTGGCACGTGATAAGGACTCACAACAGTCCAAGGAGGGAGGTGGTGTTATCCTCACTTTATATGTAAAGAAAGGCTCCGAGAGGTTAAGGGACTTACCCAAGGCTACCCAGGTAGAAGGCATGCAAGTCAGCACCTGAGAGCCCTGTTTCCTGCCTTGCCTCCTGCCACGGGAAGGTTGGTAGAGGGAGGGTGGGAACTGCGGTCTGTTTCTCTCTTCTCTGCCCCCAGCACAGGGCTGCCCCGCCCCTCTGCAGCCCTCTGCCTTCTCTCCTCCCAGGTGTCCAGGGCGTGGAGGTGCAGTTGGAGAACCAGATGGTCCTGGTACACACCACCCTGCCCAGCCCGAAAGTGCAGGCCCTCCTAGAGAGCACAGGGCGGCAGGCAGCACTCAAGGGCATGGGCACTAGCCTATTACGTGAGTGACCACTATGGCTTTCGCCTCGGCCAGTCGGGGAGGGAAGTGGCCTGGATCTGGGGCCAGTCTGGCTGTGAGGACAAATTTTGGGCTCTGGGATGGAATGGCTTTGGGGAAGGTATGAAGGTATGTGGGGCTCTTGCCATGCTCTTCCCAAGGCGATGAAGGGTTGGGGCTGGGTGAGCAAGTGAGCCAGCCAGATGTCTGATAACCTTGCAGAGAATCTGGGAGCAGCAGTGGCCATTCTTGCGGGGGTTGGCCCCGTGCAGGGAGTGGTACGCTTCCTACAGCTGAGCCCCGAGCGCTGCCTCATCGAGGGGACCATTGACGGCCTGGAGCCTGGCCCACATGGCCTCCATGTCCATCAGTATGGGGACCTGACCAGGAACTGCGCCAGGTGAGTGGTCTGGAATCTCCCCTGTGGCACCTAGACATATAACAGAGAGTTGGGATTTGAACCAGTATCTGATCCTGAAGCCCCTGCTCGTACCCACATTACTGCCTCAGAGATGGAAGGCAACTCCTGGACACGGGAAGCAGGGGGGCTGTCACATTACTAGTTGTTGACTCATCTGTGTCTTCGCTTGGACCAGAAACTTCTTGAGGGTAGAAACCATGTCTGATTCATCTCCATGCCTCTGCCTAAAGCCCAGCACAGAGTGGGCCTGTTTGTTGGATGGATGGATGGATGGATGGATAATGGAAGGAAGGGAGGGAAGGAGGAAGGAGGGAGGGAGGAAGGGAAGAAGGAAGGAAGGAACCAACCTAGTTCAGGCCTTAAATAAACTCAACTGGCCTGTGAAATGCTAGTTCCCTGCCCATCTGGTACCTTCTCTTCTTAGCTGTGGGGACCACTTTAACCCTGATGGAATGTCTCATGGGGGCCCCCAGGACGCTAACCGGGTAAGTGTCAGCCTGGGCTGGGCTTGGGCCAGAGAGAACCCAGGGTCCCAGAGGCAGGTCAGGCTGCTCTTGGAGCCTTAAAGTATGATTACTTTTTGGCCTTATTTTGTTCAGCTTAGAAACGTTTATTGACACTTTCTGTGATCCAGACCCTGGGGATACAACGTGGCCCAGTGCCTGCCCTCCAGGAGCTCATAGTCTAGTGGGGAGACCACCAAGAATCCTGGGTGGCAGTGCAGTGAGATAACCCTTGCAGGAGGCTGAAGAGGCCCCGAGCCCAGCGCAAACCCCTGCCCCCGCCTCAGGGCAGGGAAGTGGGAGAAAGCTTCACGAGAAGGAAGGTATGGGAGTTAAAAGTTTTTGCTAAACTCCAGAGGCTGTCCCTGAGGTTACAGTCCCTGGACCTGGAATTTCATTTTTCACCAGAGAATCGGTCCGTCTTCAGTGAGCCTTGTTCTGCCTCAGTGATTTTGGCCTCATCTGAGTACTTCTTGTTCTGTTAGTTACTCAGTATTTTTATTTAACTTGACTACTTATTTTATCTTTCTGTTTATTATTATTTTATCATGGAAAGTTTCGAACATATTCCAAACTAGTGTCGTGAAGCCCCATGCCCCCATCATCCCGTTTCAACAGTTACCAGTCAATCCTGTTTCAGTTACACCCCCACCACTTCTCCACCAGTATTTTGAAGCAAATCAGACATCATTTCATGTAATTAAGTAGGTTTATTTTTAAAAAGAAACTTGATATTACCACAGAAAAGGGAAAACCAGTACTTCTAGCCATAGGAGGAAGGTAATTGTAAAAATAAATCAATGAAGCCCTGCTGGTGCAGTGGTTAGGTGCTTGGCTGCTAACCAATGGTTGGTGGTTCGAACTCAGCAACCACTCCACAGGAGAAAGATGTGGCAGTCTGCTTCTGTAAAGACTACAGCCTTGGAAACCACATGGGGCAGTTCTGCTCTGCCCTGTAGGGCCACTGTGAGTAGGAATTGACTCAAAAGCGATGGGTTTTTTAATGTCCTCCACAAAGAGCCCTGGTGGCGCAACAGTTAAGTGCTCTGCTGCTAACCGAAGGTTGGCGGTTGGAACTCATCTAGCAGCTCTGCGGGAGAAAAGACCTGGCAGTCTGCTTCCGTAAAGATTACAGCCTAGGAAATTCTGTGGGGGGTGTTCTGCTCTGTCACATGGGGTCACTATGAGTTGGAATCGACTCAACGGCACCCAGTAACAACGGTGTCTGTCCTCAGTGAGATGGATTGACACAATAGTTGCAACAATGGGCTCAGACGTACCAACAATTCAACAATTGTGAGGGTGGCGCCAGGCTGGGCAATGTTTTGTTCTGTTGTATATGACAAGGTTGCCACAAGTTGGAGCCGACTCCACAGCAACTAACAGCAATGCCCTGTCTATACAAAACCTAATATCCTGCCCTCCGCTCCAGTGGTAACCGTTCACCCTGCACTCGGAGACGGTATCAGGGCAGGTTCTTCGTAATCCTGGGAAACCAGTGTCTCCTCTCTGTGTTCTCCCAGGTCTCATAGTTGAAGCAAACCCAGCTTCAGGGTCTGTCTCCTACACGTTCCTCCAACCAGGTCACCCCTGTAAGCCCTTCCTCTCATAATACCCGAGATTTATTGGGCTCTCACATGCCAGAGGCTTTTCTAAAGTGCTTTACATGTCTTCACTAATTTCCTCTTCACAAAGTCCTCCAGATAGGTTCTATTATCATCCCCGTTTAAAAGTCGAAGAAACAGAGGCACAAAAAGTAACTTGCATAGGACACCGTGCTATGAAGTGGCAAAGAGGAGATGTGAACCCAAACGGCCTGGCTCCAGAGCGCATACCTCTAACCGCTATGACACTGCTGTCCCTTAGAGGCCAGTGTCACCACTGTCCCAGCTTCACAGCCCATCTCATTTCATTCCCTCTCCACACTGCTCTTCTTTGAAGCTTTCTGTGAATGTCAGAGGCAATGTCTGCATGCTCATCTTTACCTGAGGGCAAGGGCTGTGCCTGATAACCCCGGCAACCATCTTCCTAAAGCCCCCAGGGCCTGGTCTGCAAGCAAGGCTGGGTACCCGCTGAATGACCAGATGAACATTGAGCAGAATCAAAGGAAGCCCATTCCCAGCCCAGTGCGGGTGGCTCTGCCATCTCAGACCTCTCCAACTGTGCCAGGTCACCTCCAGACCAGCTTGTTTCTATTTTCTGTCTTGATGAAAGTTTGCCACAAAATTATGATAGGCGCCTCTTAATTCTTTCCCAGATTCTTGATTCACGTAACTGTTTTCTTTGGACTTTTGACAGCTCTGTGACATTTTTAATGGGCAAACGTTTTTGGTTGCCCTCTCTGGGATGTTGGAGAGGCATTTCTGTGGGGCCCAGTTGGCAGTGCCATGCTCATGCGGAGTGCATTGGTGATTTATTGCTGCAAATCCAACTGCTCCTACATGTAGGGGCTTAAAGCAACAAACGTTTATTACCTCACGGTTGCCTCTGTGGGCCTGCAGTCGGGGCCTGGCTTGCCTGGGGTCTCTGGCTTAGGGTTCTCTAATCTCAAGGCTGCAGTCAAGTGTCGGCCAGGCTGTGGTCATCTCAGGGCTCCGCGGGGGTAGTTTTCGTCCAGCTCACTCGCGTGGCTGTTGGCTGGCCTCGGTCCTCACTGGCTGTTGGCCAGACACCCGTTCTCTGTCGCGTGGGCCTCTCCCTAGGGCCGCTCACCACGGCAGCTGGCCTCTGTCAGAGCCAGTGAGTAAGAGCGGCCATCCAGGAGTGAAGCCACACTCTTCGTGTTACCTAATCTCCACAGTGACACTAGGTCCACCCTGCAGGCAAAGGGAGGGGATTACACAGGGTGTGCATATGGGAAAAGAAGCACTGGTGGCTCAGTGGTTAAGCCCTCAGCTGCTAACCGAATGGACGGTTATTAAGCGCTCGGCTGCTAACTGGAAGGTTGGCGGTTTGAACCCACCAGTCACTCTGTGGGAGAAAGATGTGGCAGTCTGCTTCTGTAAAGATTACAGCCTTGGAAACCCTATGGGGCAGCTCTACCCTGTCCTTTAGGGTCACTGTGAGTCAATTGACTAGACAGCAATGGGTTTGGTTTTGGTTTGGAATATGGGGAGGAGGAGGTGGCAATCTTAGAGACTGTCTACCTCATTGAGCTCGAAAGATGAGTGGGAGTTAGGCAGGTGAAGAGGGTGGGAGTAGAATGGCAGCCCTGGCCGAGGAAGCTATGTAGGCAGAGCCCTCGAGGCTTGAAACAGCGAGTAGTGGGAAATAGAAGCCCAGTGTCTTATGAAATGATGACATGGAGGTGTCTAACAGGCAGGAGACCTCCCTCGTGACCTGGGGCAGGGAATCCAAGGGGACTGGAGTCAGCTGCTGTATTGGGCCCAAGCCCTTGATATAGACAGGGGAGGAATTGAGCCAGTAGGTGAGCAGACAAGGCTGCTGTGATGACTAGTAGGTTCCTTTTGGATTGTAGCTTCTGGTTTTGCCCGGGTGGAAATGAACTCAGCGTGGGAATTTCCACCCAAGCTTGGATGCCTGTCTCTAGGAGGTCTTGAAGCTTTCTTTCCTCCTCCCCGCCCCACAAGCCTTTCCCTTCGGACACTATACTAGAGGGATTGCTTGAAAGCCTAGTGATCATGCCGTACCCCTACCTGAAACCCTCCGTGGCTCCTCAGTGCCCGAGGGCACAGGCATCTCCAGGTGACAGAGCCCCCCCTGGCCCAGTCCACCTGCCTCTGTGCTGAGGGGAGGCGTGGAACGGCTGCCGCTCCCGACCCTGCTACTCGGTCATCCTCCGAGCCACACTGCCAGGCTCCCTCAGCCCAGCCCTGGAAATGCCCGTCAAGCCTCTGTTTCACTTCCCCATCTTGATCTGTTGAAGCCCCCAACGCGGAGCATAACAAGACGTGCCAGGTGCAAGCTGCAGACGTCCCTTTGGAAGTCAAGATAAGGTGGCGTTGGCACTTCTCACTGCTTGTCAGCCCAGGCACAGTGGTCTGCTTTTTGGCTTAGCGGCAAGCTTGTGTGGGCCGGCCACATTTGCACAGGAGCTTGCATCTGTCCAAAGTGTCAGGTTGGGGACAATTTATTTGCACAGCTGTGGGTCTCAGTCCTGTCACCAGAACACAGAACACGTGCTAGTTGCTGCACCCGCCCCTTGTTTCATAGTAACTAGTCGCTTCCATGTCTGCTCCCCACCATGTTGTGAGGTCCTTGAGGACAGTGACCATACGTCTTGCCTCACCCCCCCGCCCCAGTGCCTTGTTGTCGTTGTTGTATGCCATTGAGTCGGTTCCGACTCACAGCGACCCTAGAAGACAGAGTAGAACTGCCCCATAGGGTTTCTTAGGCCGTAATCTTTATGGAGTAAGGAGCCCTGGTGGTGCAGTGGTTAAGCACTCAGCTGCTAACTGAAAGGTCAGTGGTTTGAACCCACCAGCTGCTCTGCAGGGGAAAGATGTGGTAGTCTGCTTCCATAAGGATTACAGCCTTGGTACAGTGGTCTCTATTTACCTGGAGCAACAGAGGAAGGAGAGTCAGGAATAGGAGGGGGTATGGAATGTGTGGGTAATTGCCTCCATGAACAGCTTCCTCCTTTGCCATGAGACCAGAAGAACTAGATGGTACCTGGCTACCATTACTGAACATTTTGATCAAAGATTCCATAGAAGGCTCCTGATCAAAAGGGGAAAATGCAGAACAGACTTTATGGAGCCATGGAGGGTGGATGAACCCCTGAAACTATTGCCCTGAGATAATCTTTAAACCTTAAACCAAAAATATCCCCTAAAGTCCTCTTGAAACGGAACAATAGTTTAGCTTAACTGGTAAAAAAAAAAAAAGGTCTGCCTTGAGGGTTATGCTATCTATATGGGATCAAATTGCTGGCAGCAATTTGAAAGATTAGATAGGAACCTCAGGGGATAGTCAGTTTATGTTAATGAGGGAGGAACAACTCAGAAAAGGAGGGTGAGAATGGTTGCACAACTCAAAGAACGTAATCCATGTCACTAAATTGTACATGTAGAAACTGTTAAATTGGTATATGTTTTGCTGTGTATATTCTCAACAACCAAATAAAATTTAGGGAAAAAAAAAGATTACAGCCTTGGATAACGTATGGGGCAGTCCTACGCTGTCCTATAGGGTCGATATGAGTCAGAATCGACTCAATAACAATGGATTAATCTTTACAGGAGCAGATTGCCAGGTCTTTTCTCCCATGGAGTGGCTGGAGGGTTCGAACCACTGACTTTTCAGTTAGTAGGCGAGTGGTTAACCACCGGGCCACCAGGACTCCTTCCCCAGTGCCTAGCAGAGTGTTTTTACATAGGAGGTGCTCGGGAGATGTGCGATGGCATTTTGTATTGCCGTCAAGGGGAAGGTGGGCAGAGCCAGCTATGGGGTAGGACAGGCCCCTTGTCCCCTGTGTTCTCTCTGTGCCTCAAGGGTGGGAGTCCGGGAGATGATGCTGGTTGCATCTGATAGTCAGGAAAGCCAACCTTGGCCAACTTAAGCCTAAGAGAATTTACTGGCTGACTTCCAGGGGCTCACAGAGCCAACAGGAGGCTGGAGATCTGGCTTCAAGAGAAGCAGGAACAGAACTCACTCTGAGGCTGGGAAGAGGGTCGAGCAGCACCCTCATAGCAGGAATAGTCTGGTCTGATGGGGGGGACTCTCAGGTGCTGTGTTTAGCTCCCTGTCATTCTGCCCGGGGAGGGTGTATCCAGTTGCCTGCCTTGAGTCCTGGGCCACCTGTTGATCCTACCAGTCTATGCCCTCAGGGGGACTGGTACTTTTTGGAAGGGGAGGAAGGGGAATCAGATACTGGGAAGCCAGGAGACAGCAGCTGTGCCCCGCCTGACCCTGCCCCACTGGGTCCCATTCCAGCACCGCGGAGACCTGGGGAACGTCCTTGCTGACGCTGACGGCCGAGTTGTCTTCAGGATGGAGGATGAGAAGCTGAAGGTACCGTGGGAAGGAAGGTGGGAGCCCTTCCTACAAGCCCACCTGTCTGAGGCGTTGCTTCCCTCTCAAAGGTGTGGGACGTGATTGGCCGCAGCCTGGTTATTGACGAGGGAGAGGATGACCTGGGCCGCGGTAGCCACCCCTTATCCAAGGTCACCGGGAACTCGGGCAAGAGGTGAGCGATGCACCCCCGCGAGAGGCTGTGCTCTGCCTGCACGCTGGGAGCCCTGAGGGGCCCGGACAAGTCACCCGTGACCGCACGTTCTCCGGCAGGTTGGCCTGTGGCATCATCGCACGCTCTGCTGGCCTGTTCCAGAACCCCAAGCAGATCTGCACCTGTGACGGCCTCACCATCTGGGAGGAGCGGGACCGGCCCATCTCTGGGGAGGGCCGAAAGCAGCCAGCCCAGCCCCCTGCCCACCTCTGAGCCCCGGGCCTCAGCGTTGGGTCTATTCCTGTCGCTTCCCAGCTGAGCAGCCTCCATTTCCAGAAGGAGCCGAGGGAGGTCTTGCTTGCCCAGCCCTGGGAGAGCTAGGGTGCAGGGGGGTGGGGGTTGCTGTAATGTTCCTGTGGCAAATTAAAGCTTTGTTTTCATGTGGGACTTTGTGTGTTGTCACTGCCTCAGTGTCCCTTAATGGGTGTCTCTGCCTCTGCCCGCCACATCTAGGGCCACCGCTGGGCTTTGGAGCCAAACAAACCTGATTCAAATCCGCACGCCCCCTGAGGGCCCGTCAGCCTCTCCGTGAAGGGTCACAGCAGTCACATGTCTGTGCCCTGACCCCCTCCTCACTAGGGCTGATTGGAGCCAAATCGGACACCTGACCCTCGCTGGCCAACCAGTCCTTTCCCTGAGAGATTAGAGCACATCTTCTTCCTGTGGCTGGACTGTAACGAGGGAATATGGTGTCAGTCTACTGGTGCTGTAACTGAAATACTACACGTGGGGGGCTTTAACAAACAGAAACTTATTTTCTCACAGTTTAGGAGGCTAGAAGTCCGAATTCAGGGAAAGGCTCGCTCTCTGTCAGCTCTGGGGGAAGGTCCTTATCTCTTTTCAGTTTCTGTTCCTTGGCGATGTTCACGTGGCTTGGCATCTGTCTGCCCCGTCTGTGCTTCCTTGCATGTGTATCTAATCTGTTCTTTTTATATCTTAAAAGTGACTGGGTTTGAGACACAGCCTACACTGGTACAGCCTCATTAATATAACAAAATTCTATTCCCAAATGGGGGTATATCCACAGATATAGCGGCTGGTATTCCAACACAGAATTTAGGGGTGACACGATTCAGTCCATAACATATGGGGACTGTGGGTGGCCCTCGCCTTGTTGGGTGAGCATCAGAAACGGTCTGCTGAAGAGGCCGAATGAGGCAGATGCACAGAAGAAACTGGAGTAGCTGGACAACCCTCGTTGCTCTGGGGTCCCTGCTCCGGCACCTTTCCCGAGCCAGCTGCCTCCTGCCCTGGGGCTCAGGAGACACTAGGGATCATCCAAGTTCTTCTTCTTCTTTTTTTTAATCTGGTTTCAGTTGGCTTCTACTCACAAGCAAAAGGATCTTAATTAATCTAGTAAGTTCAGTGCTTGGCGCAGGCCTGGCACACATCAAGTCAGGGATAAGTGGCTGTGATTCTGATGCCAGTGGGCCCTGGAGGAGCCCAGCAAAGCTCCCCCTGATATGGATGACTGATAGCCAGGGAATAGCGCTGGGGCCACCCCCCATTTCCTTGGCCCCCACCCCACCCCCACAGGAGTGTCAGGCTTGCTCACCCATGAAAAGGCTACTTTCAAGACAGGGTGGGCTGTCAGGGTTCGCCCTTCGCACCTCATGCCACCTTCTTGGAGCTGGCTGGAGGTTCTCGTTGGTTGGCCTTGACTTAGATTCCCCTTGCTCTGCTCCTACTCCGTTTCCCCCTTCCAGGCTGCTGGTTCTGCTGCTAGCCCCAGCCCTCAGACCCAGGCTTTTCTTGCCAAAGCTCTGCTAGTGGTTTTCCAGCTACCTTTGGTTCCTGGAGAACCACGTGCTTCTGCCCCTGGGCCCAGCTTGTCCTTCCCCACCTTTGGGTCATCACAGAGACCCCCTTGGAATTGGCCCACAGCCCACCTGCCTGGCCCTCCCCTCCATCCTGGGATTATGTAGCTGGATTTAACCTGCTCACGGCTAAACGTCTTACCTTCTGCCACTGGGTTTCCATTCTATGGGATCAACATCCCCCTCAGTTTCTCTCTTCTGAACTCTTAGCCATGTGGTTGTCAATGTGTTTTTTAAAATCACAGAACACCGTTCTAACATCTTGAAGCCCCGTCTGTAAAACAGGAAGTGGAAGTACAGCCCACATTGCTTAGCCCTGCCTGGGAACTGCCCTGGAGCTGTAGGGCTCCAGGGAGCACAGTTTGAAAACCTTTACCAAATTTCAGGGGTTGTGTGCTACTCTGGAATGTGAACGGTTAAGTGCTGGATTACTAACTGAAAGGCTGGAGGTTTGAACCCACCTAAAGAAGCCTTGGAAGAAAGGCCTGGCAATCTGCTTCCATTGACAACTGGTTTGATTTTTTTTCTTTATGTTACCCTGCAATTTTTGCCATGTCTACAAGCTACCTGCATTATCGCTTACCAAATACCTTAAGAAGGAAATTTTAATAGTATTAGCTAATGCTGTATCTTATTGTTGTTAGGTGCTGTCAAGTTGGTTCCGACTCGTAGCGACCCTGTGTACAACAGAACGAAACAGTGCCTGGTCCTTTGCCATCCTCACAATCGTTAACGATGTTTGAGCCCAGTGTTGCAGCCACTGTGTCAGTCCATCTCATTGAGGGTCTTCCTCTTTTTCACTGACCCTTTGCTTTACTAAGCATGATGTCCTTCTCCAGGGATTGATCCCTCCTGATAACATGTCCAATGTAAATGAGATGAAGTCTTGCCATCCTCGCTTCTAAGGAGCATTCTGGTTGTATTTCTTCCAAGACAGATCCGTTGGTTCTTCTGGTATAGTCACTATTTGAAGAATATTGTACCTATAGAGTGGGTATTAAGTGCCGGGCTCAGTTCTAAACACTGCATGCAGTCATTAATTTCATCCTCATGGTACTACTATGGGGTAAATGCTATTCTTATCCCAAGGTGCAGAGGCTGAGGCACAGAGTGGTTATTTTTACTTGCCCAAGGCCACACAGCTACTAAGTGGCAGAGTCTGCATTCAGACCCAGGTGGTCTGGCTCTAGGTCCACACTGTAAGCCACTGTACTGGTTCTCATCGTAAAGTATGGAAAACAAGATTCATTTGTCATAAATAGAAGCTTCCTGTAAAAAGAAAATACATAACTACTACAATAAAAATAAGAATTGCTAACTGCCTAAAATTGTGTATACTTCCAGTGGTTTATGCACTATGCTTTGGGAACTCAGACACTTGTTTTGCCCCTGTTCTCTCAGCCACCATCTTTGCTGGAGCTGCTCCCTCTGTGGCTTCTAGCACCCAGCGTGACTGTCATTTCTTAGGGACCTCTCTCTGTCTTTTCTGCCCTCTTCCCTGGGTTTTCTCCTTTGGGCCTACCCCTTCTCATTCTCAGTTCTTCCTGGGATTCTATTTTGTGGAGTGGTAGAGCTGTGACTATTTCAAGAACCTTCTATTCTCCCAGGTAGGGCACCTTCTCCCCAACTGGATCTTGATGAGGCCCAGCTGGAGTCCATCTTCAGCGCATTGGCAGGGCCTCTGCCCCCGGAACCTGGCTGCAGATGGGGATCCTTGGAAGACGCGGGGCTGCTTCTGAAGCACCTCAGTGTCTGGAGACTGAGTGTGACTCTAGCTTCTGGAAACCATCCTCCCTGTCCCTCCTGTCTTCCCTAACCTGTCTACTAGCAGTGATTCTCAAAGTGGGGTCCCCCATGGTCCCTGGGTACATTATCAGCCTACCACAGTAATTAAAAAAAAAAAAAATAATAATAAAGTAATTGCAAATAGTTGGTGCTGCGCACAGATATCACTAGTGTGCATCAGAAACACTCACGTTGACGTGATTCTGTCCTGCTGACATCGTTGGCTGTGTTACTAGGCAGTAAGCAAGGGAAGCAGAGCTCTTTCCTTTTTGCTTTAAATCTGAGCTCGCTCTCAGTTATGGTGCCTCCCTCACCTGGGTTTTAGGTATAATCCCTATCTTTGAGGTATCTTAAGATACCTCAAGTCCTTATTGGAAGTAGGTGACTGTCTTAGGCTGGATTCTCTAGAGAAGCAAAGCCAGAGCAGCATATAAATATATATAGAGAGAGATTTATATAAAGGAAATGGCCACATGGTTGTAGAGGCCGGAAAGTCCCAAGTCCATGGGTCAGGTTGGAGGCTTCTCCCAATCCACACAGCCGCAGGTGCTGGTGAATCCAAGATCAGAAGGTTAGATAGAAAGCCTCTGGCTCACAGGCCATGGAGGCCAACAGATCCCAAGATCATTAGGTAAGACAGCAGGTAAGCTGCTAGCTCAAGTCCCAAGAACCGGAGGTCACATAAACAGGATCCAGAGTGAGCAAAAGCCCGTGAGCCTTGCCAGAAAGTCCACCTATATTGGATGCAGGCCACACCCCCAAGGAAACCCCCTTTCAACTGATTGACTGCTCCCAACATACCTCATCATGGAGGTGATCACAGTATATCAGATCTCATTATGGATGTGATTACATCATTAAAGGAGCCCTGGTAGCACAGTGGTTAAGAGCTCGGCTGCTAACCAAAAGGTCAGCAGTTCAAATCCACCAGCTGCTCCTTGGAAACCCTATGGGGCAGTTCTACTCTGTCCTGTAGGGTCGCTAGGAGTCAGAATTGACTCGATGGCAATGGGTTTGATTTGGTTTGGCTTATATGATTAAAAAGTTGCCAAACTACATCATAACTGCCAAATGACTGAGGATCGTGGTCCAGCCAAGTTGACACACAATTTTAATCATCACAATGACATGTATGTATTTAAATTAGAGGAATTAGAGGAAAGTTTGGGGGAGCTGGGGGGTGGTCTCAAAGTCTATTCCTACACCAGGAGTGGGAGCAGCAGTGGACCCCCCACTTCTGAGAGGTTGCCAGGCTTTGAGCTAACCACCTTTTGAGACCAGTAGTTCTCAAACTTTAGCATGCTTCAAAATCACTGGGAAAGCCATTTTAAAACAGATTTCTGGGATTCATCTCCAGGATTTCTGATTCTGTAGATCTGGAGTAAAGCCCCAGAATTTGCATTTCAAACAAGCTTCCAGGTGATGCCAGTTAAGGCATTGGTGCTAGCCATGGTAAGCTAGCTATGTCACTGTAACAAACCAGTTGCCACAGAGTCAACTTCAACTCATAGCGACCCCGTGTGAGTAAGAGTAGAACTGTACTCCATAAGGTTTTCAATGACTGAGTTTTCGGAAGTTGATCACCAGGCCTTTCTTCCCAGATGCCTCTGGGTGGACTCAAACCTCCGACTTTTCAGTTAGCAGCTGAGCGTGTTAACTATTTGCACTCCCAGGGACTCCAACCCTACATGATTGCAGATTGGCGAGAGCTCTACCCATTGAAATCATTCTGGGACCCAGGCTGACAGAGACTTTATCTCAGCGGGTGCTTCCATGATT